ACCGCGCCCCGCCCGCGGGACCTGCGTCTGGGAGCCTGGGCGCTGCCCAGGGAGCGTCTCTACACAGGGGGCCGGGGCAGGCGGCCGGGGCCTGGACTGTCCCTTCCGCACAGGGCGCGGCGGCAGCCAGGCGGAGCCGGCCTTCGTGGACCGGTTTGGGTTCAGCGTGGCGACCTGCTGTGGATACCTGGCCCAGGTGCGAGGCCCCACAGCCAGTGAGAGTGCTCCCCTTGGTCCTGGGCGGTTTTCCCACTGTGTCCCTGGCTCGCTTCCTAGCTAACATGCTCACGCAGCTCCTGCTGGACACCTAGAGGCGCAGGCGGGGCGGTGGGCGGGAGCCACGGGCGCGGGCCCTGCGCTCTGTCCAGGCCCCGGCGCAGGGCGCAGGTGTGGGAGTCGCGGCTGTCTGGAGCCCGGCCCTGCCCAGCGTGTGGCCCGCACGTGTGGGCTCGTGGCCTCCACCCCTGGTGTCTTTGCTCTTCCCGGGAGAGGGGCCCCAGGAGGGGGTGGCCGGCATCGAGCCTCAGGGTCCAGAAGGCTCAGCCCGGCTGGCACCGCCCTGGAGTGCAGGGCAGGGCCCCCCCCCGCCCTACCCCCACCCACACACCTCTTCTGGGCGCCGTCTGCTGTCCACGCCGGCAGGTCAATGACTGGCAGGAGGACTGGGTGGCCTTCTACGCCCGGCAGCGCATCCAGCCCCAGATGGACATGGTGGAGAAGGGGTCTGGGGACAGGGAGGCCCTGGAGCTCTGGGCCGCCCTGCAGGTGAGGGAGCCCCCCACGTGTGCTGCAGGCTGGCCCCCCCCTTTGCTGAGGCCGCCCCGCCCCCGCTGAGGCCACGTCTCCCACAGCGGAAGATCCCCGGCCTGTTCCGCGACCTGGACATCGTCCCCGCCTTGCTCCACGGGGACCTGTGGTCCGGAAACGTGGCCGAGGACGCCTCCGGGCCCGTCATCTTTGACCCTGCGTCCTTCTACGGCCACTCGGAGTACGAGCTGGCGATAGCCGGCATGTTCGGGGGCTTCAGCAGCTCCTTCTATGCCGCCTACCACGCCCAGATCCCCAAGGCCCCCGGCTTCGAGACGCGCCTGCGGCTGTACCAACTCTTCCACTACCTGAACCACTGGAACCACTTCGGGTCGGGGTACAGGGGCTCCGCCCTCAGCATCATGAGAGACCTCACCCAGTGAGACGTCGGGGCTCGTGGCGCTCGCAGCCGGGACTGCCGGGGCCCGGCCGGGCGCCGGCCCTCAGGAGGGCCGTCCTGTCGCACCCCCGGAGGCCGCGCCGCTGGCAGTGCTGGCAGTGGGCACGGTGGGCCAGGCGGAGCCCCTCCCTTCCTTGTCCCCGCCCAGCCTGGACGTGGAGGGACCAAGCCCTGGGCACCAGCGTCGCGACCCAGCGACGGCTGGGGCGCTGCTGGCCTCTGCACGCCTGCGGCTTCCTAGCACCCGCCCTGCGCCCCACCGCCCTACAGCAGTGCCCCCAGGCCCCCGGAGCTGCCCCCTGATGCCACCTCTGTGCTCCCGGTCCCCGTGCCCTGCGCCCCGTTGCCGCATCTCCCCCTCCCCGGCAGGCTCACCCCATTTGAGCTGTGACGCGGGGCGACAGACTTGCCAGGAGGCCTCTGGAACCCACTGTGACGATAAATGGGCACGAGTGTGGTTGCTTTCATGTGACGGTCCCTCGACTTCGCGGGCGGCGAGCCAGGAGCAGGGCTCTGAGGGCCTGGCAGGGCAGCTCGTGCCGCCCGGACGTGGGGGCCGGCAGGGGCCCAGGGGAGCTGTGGCCACCTGCAGTGAGGGGGCCCCAGGACCGCAGGGCTCGGCTCAGCGGGCGTCTGCTCCCCCAGTCTGGGTGCAGTGCGTGCGCAGGAGGCGAAAGGGGCCCACCGGGTGTGGTCCCCAGGGGGCTCTTGTGTCCCCCACCTGACTTGGGGGGCCCAGAGCCCAGTGGGGGATCGGGGTCTTGGGCTTGTCAGGAGGGGGAGGACGCAGCTGAACTCGAGGTCCAGGGTGAGTCAAGCCCATAAGCCCCTGGACTCCGCTCCCCAACATTCACGCTTGTGTGTGTCGGCCGGCCGGCCCTGGGGACACTGCCGTCTGCTGGGAGAGGGGGCCGGTCGGGAAAGGTGGGCTGAGGTCCCATGGGTCGCTGCCCTTGCCGAGCCAGCCCCCCCAGGCAGGTGCAGGCCTCGCCGGGCGTCCCCGGCAGGGCAGGCCCGTGTCGCCACGCGGCCCAGCCCTCATGGCGCCCGGAGGAGTGACCGCCGGAGAGCGGCCAGGCACCTGCAGAGGCCTGCGCCTGCCCAGCTGTCCCCAGTGGGACGGCACCTCCCCTCTAGGCCACCTCTCAGCGGGAGTGGGGAGAGGCGGGCTGGGCAGCCAGGGCAGTGCCTGGGTTCTGGCCCTGCATCCGCCAAGGGCTGTGGGCGCTGCCCGTACAGTGCCCCCGGGCTGCCACGCGCACGTGCTCCCCGGACCCCTCCGGAGGTTCCCCAGGCAGACACCGGCCAGCAGCCTGCGGCCCAGCGTGGCCTGGCTGCGCCTGCGCACGGGCCGCTCACCCGGTGCCCCCGCAGGCCTGTTGCCCAGACCTGGCCGCGCTCGGGGGGCTGCCCCCCGCTGCCTGCAGCTGGCTCGAGGTGGGGCGGGCGCCCCATCCAGCGCGGTGGGCAGCGCAGCCGGCTGTCATCAGGAGGCCTGCTGGGGGGGGCGTTGCCCGGGGTCAGAGCCCCAGAGCAGCCTGTCTGTGACCAGCACTGGGTGCTCTGAGCAAACCAACCCAGCAGCCTGGCCCTGTGGTCCGGGCCCCGCCTTGCCTGGACAGCCTGAGACACATGGTCAGTGGCCTGCAGCTCCCAGGGCGTGCCCCGGGGCCTGGGCTGGCATGAGGGCAGCCGGGGGCTGCAGGGACCGGCGGTGGACTGAGGGGCTACCTCGGCCTCGCCCCTTCCAAGCTGGGTTTGGTGAGGGGAGCAGGAGACCCAGGTGGGCTGCACTGGGCCCGGCAGGAGCTGCCCGAAAGCTCCTGCTCTGGGCTTGGTCCGGCCCCCAGGGCCAGGCAGAGGCAGGAGCTTGGCCCCGCCCATCGTCCCGCCCCCAGGGGACAGGCCC